GAAGAAGAAGAAGAAGAAGAAGAAGAAGAAGAAGAAGAAGAAGAAGAAGAAGATCATCATCATCAGCAGCAGCAGCAGCAGCAACAGCAACAGCAGCATCATCATCATCATCATCATCATCATCATCATCATCATCATCATCATCACCATCATCATCATCATCATCATCATCATCATCATCATCGTCATCATCATCATCATCATCATCATCATCATCATCATCATTATCGTCGTCGTTCTTCTGTCATTGTCCGAAAATTACCAATGCATCTGCAAAGGAGAATAAATATGTCTTACAACGAAACAGAAGAAATAAAAGGATGGCTGGTGACTTTAGTTAAGACCATTCTGACGTAAACATAAATAAGTGGAAATTGTATAATATATTTTTAATTGCACAATTTTGGGGAAAATATCTCCGATCATTTTTTTAATAGGCATCACACTGACCAGAGACTCTTACATATAATTAAATACTCTCCGCACTTACCCTCATCTAATGTCATTCAAATTTCAGACTTGAACGTCCAACTCTGGTGCTGAAACAAATGCCCACCTCTCTTATCCATGGCGTGGAGGCCAATTGGTTTGAAGATCTTTGACTTCCATACGCTTGTCAATCCGCACGAGTTTAGTTTAAGTAAGCTGGTGTACTCTGAAAAGCTTCACAATGAAATGCTAAAGTACATTCATCAAATTCATTGCATCTCTGGCATATTGTTATAAATGCTTAATACTTAGCCCGCCGTTCCTCGAAAACAGCAGAATCTGAGCACGTGTCATTCTAGTTCTAATTTCATTCAAAAGAATGTAGCAAGTAAACACTAACATTACAATATTCACATTATTATCATTTTTGTTTGTTTTGCTATTTGTTTGTTACGTTTGGGACTTTTTATATACAGATTTTACCTTTGAAGCAGCAGAGCTAAAATGCAAAATAGATTTTTAAAATCCTTATTTTTCTTTTTTGTAAACTCAAATTTTGAAATAATTATTTGTATAGCTATGGTTTATTACGATAGTTCTCTTCTAGAAATAATTTCCACTGTTCAGGTATCATTATGCTCATTATTGTTATAAGGCTGAAATTTGTATTCCTTTGTATCTTTTGGACGGTACCAAAACACCCACTTCCCTGCCATCGCTCTAAGTTGTTTTAAATAAGTCGCTTGTGGTGGAAGCAAAAGACGTGAGTTCCATTACTTGTTGTACAATTTTACTGTCTATCTAAAAGGCACTGTGGTAAAACATGTTAGATCCAGTAATGTTTTAAATGAGAAAAAGGTCAATTGTATGACAGTAAAATATCGAGGAAAAAGAGCATTTTGAAGATGTTTCTTTAACTTAAACCCTTTGTAAAAGTTTCTTAGTGCATTGCTAATGGATTTCGATAATGTGTCAAAAGTGGTTAGTCCCTGTGTGTAGGGTTGATGGGTGTGGTTGGCACGTTACGAAATCGATAAAGCGCTCATGTGTTTTGATGGATAGCCTCATGAATGCCTTGTTTGGATGTTTCTGTGGGTACTTACTTGCTTACTCTCTTCCAATACTGTCAGGAGAGCAGTCAGCGTCATTTCCTCCGATTTCGTCAAAACCGGACCCTGAGTGATTGCCTCATCCCTTATTGTGCCTCTATAGTAGCTTTAAGTTGGTCTTCCTCGTTTTCTTTTTCCAGTTGGTTTCCAATATTATGCCCGATAGGGCAATGTTGTCTTCGGCATTATTAAAACATGTCCTAGGTATCTCCATCTTCTCCTTTTTATGGTTGTGTTGATATTTTCAATTCCAGCTCTTTTTTCAACACTTCATTATTTGTAATAAATTCATTTCATTTTATTAGTGACATTCTTCGTAAATATTTTGTTTGGAAGCTTTTAAATTTTCTTTGAATAATTTTGTTTGTTTTCCATATGTCTGAACCATACGTCAGTACAGCCAAAATATTACTATTATATAGTTTTAATTTCGTCTTCAATGAAATGATCTTTGACTTCCATATAGTTTTTAATTTCACAAAAATGATCAAAGCATTTTTATGTCTTTGTTGGACGTCGCCAAGGCAGTCTGTAGTTTTGGATATAATGCTGCCAAGGTACTTGAACGTACTAATTTCTGCCAGGGGTTCTCCTTAAAAAGTAAGGAGCGAAGTTTCTGATGAAAGTCGTGATACTTCTGTTCTAGATACATTTGTTGTAAGGCCAAAGTTTTCCGTAACGTTTGCTAGTTTGTCTGTTTTTGATTGCATTTCATGTACTGTGGTGCTTAATAAGCAGATTTCACTGTAAAATCTAAATCTCCTAAATATGTGACATTTGTCCATCCAATGCCTGTTTCAATGCATTTACTCTGTCTCAATACAAAATCGATCACAATTCCAGAAAGGTACAGGTGATAATATACAGCCTTGTCTTTCACCAGTATTTACATCAAAAAGGTGTAAATAGTTCTTTCAACTATGACTCAGCAAATTGCTTCGGTATATAATGATTTTATACAGTTTCTTATTTTTGTTGGGATGCCATAAATTGAAAGAATTTTCCACAGGGCTCTCGGTCTATGCTTTTTTAAAGTCCACAAAGTTCAAATGTTGGATACAGAGCATTTTGAAGGTCAATTTTCTAAACCTTGA